AAAGGTTCTACTTGAAAAATTCTAGGTGATTATGTTAAATTAAATTATTAATCATAAATATAGAAAAAATAAATCTGCTGTTAAATTTATTTTTTTATAAATTCACAATGTCTAGAAGAATATTTCTTTTTTGATATCCTTGTTTGATAATTGTTGAATATTAGAATTGGCTTGATGGTTGAGAGGTATCATTTAAAATATTGATTAAATTTTTCTGAGAATCATGATTTTCAAAGATGCTTGTAATATTGTTTATTTATCCTTAGAATATGTGTATTTATTTTTAAAATATTTTATGAAAATAATCATTTTAACCTGTGATACGTGATAAAGTGCATTCGTCCTCTCAACGTTGTAGGAACAACAGAGCTACGCTAGATTTTTCTCATTTCCATCTAATTGGATTATTAAAGTAATCGGGGAAGAAAATATGAGAAGCCCTTTACACGTTTGTGGGCAAGCCGCACGTACTTGTATCGCACAATAGTCCGAGGATTATCGTTTAAACGTCTGTGGGCTGATTAAGAGGGAAAAGGCCAAATAAGACAGCCCACACCCATACTTAATGTCCTATTATTATATTATTATAATTGGATAGGGGAAGGTTAGTTTAATTTAATGTTTAATGAGTTACATTTAAGAAAATATGATTATTAAATAATAGAAAAAAACCCGTACTCTTGAGGTAGTTGAGGGGGGGGGGAGGGTATAGTTGAGGGTGAGGAAGGGTAAAGTGACGGATAGGGGATTTCATCTTAGGTACCATTTTACCTTAAGAAGCTTTTTAATAGAATTGTTATTCAGTCTAGGGAACTGTTTCCAGTGTACGTTCAGGTCAGCAACATCTTTCAGTACTCGGTGAAACCATAACTTATAGTATCTACTGTATGAGTTTCCTTTGCAGGTAAAGAGCCAAGTTAAAGCATCGTGGACCCAATTACAGTTGGGATGTCTCAGAATGTGAGCTAATAAATGAATTCGTTTTTTCTTTAGTATGATGTGAAAAGGAGTATGTTTTGATTGTCTTCATAATCTTTCGTTTGATATTAGTCTGGGGTAGAAAACGCCGTTAATTATCCTTAAACACTTGTTGATAAACGTTTGACATTTCCTGTTATCGGCTTTGCTTATTTCCCACGTTTTGCAACCGTATAATAGAATAGGAATCACCATAGGCGTAGCCAAAGGGGGTGGGGCAAGGGGAAATCCCCCTCTCTCCTTCAGAAATTTATCACTTTTGTGAATATCATTTTAAGCTAATAAAAAATATCCCCCTTAGTCCTCCTCCCACTCCCTGACCCCCAAAAATGTATGCATATAACTTAAACAATAATTTGAAAGAAAGAATGTAAAAGTTAATATTTTTTATAAAAATATTCATCATAATTTATACATTTTTGGAAAAAAGCATTTGTATATAAAAAAAAAGTGAACCAAAAATGCTTTTTAAGAAATGGAATATAAGATAGTCTTAAGACAAAAGTGAAATGTATTATAATTATTAATAATAGATCCATAAAATTACTTAATAATTATCAAATATAATTTTTTATAAAGTGAGTAATTTTAATTTATTTATCTTAATAAAAGTAAAATATAATTATAAAACAATTGAAAAAATTAAATCATAAATTAAATAAAAATATTAAAGCACAATACAAACAGTAGAACATTATATGTAGTAGATTTACAATATATCTAATTTTATCAATTATCATATGACAATCAAGTAATTTTTACCAATATAGCAAATTATATATTTTACAGACTATAAAATATTGATAAGGACATCATAAAATATCTTTTAAAGACATTGTGGGACACAATATGAAGATTAATTTTTAATATCATTTTTTATTTAAAATAAATAGATGGCGTTAAATAAATAAGTGCTAATTGTTGCTATATTTATATCAAGAGCATCGATTAGTAAAATTTGTTAAAATATTAACTGTAATATATTCTCTAACTGTCAAATATGTCTGTGTAAGTGGAATTTTACCTAGTATTTTATAACTAATTCTTTATAATAGAGGAATATCAACTATATGCCGCCTACTTACTTTTTCTAAATAAATTTCTTATACTGGTTTAAAATAAATTATTGGGATCGGTTCTAAATCGCTAAACGAAAAATCGCTAAAAAATGGGATGTTCCCAATTTTGTTACCAGTGAAAATCCCAAAGATGTCTACTAGTGTTTTATTTAAAAAATGAAGATTCAAACCGTAGCAGAAAACATAAATAATTTACTTAAGCTTAGGAAATTAGATATTAAAGTATGTATAATTTATAGATATGAAAATTTTATTTACATTTAAATTTTTTTACTTGTAAAAACCAATTCAAAAAGTAAAACTTAATTTGTAATTAATTATATTATTATATTTTAGACTGTTTGAGGTCAGCCATGGTTGAAGATATTTGAGATACATCTATTTAATTTATAGTTAATTCATATGATTTATAATTTTTAACTTGGATATGAGAGGGTCAAGGATTATCCATGAGATTGAGAAGATATTTGAGATACATCTATTTAATTTATAGTTAATTAATATTATTTATAATATGAGATTGAGAAGATATTTGAGATACATCTATTTAATTTATAGTTAATTAATATTATTTATATTTTTTAACTTGGATTTGAGAGGGTCAAGGATTCTCCATGAGATTGAGAAGATATTTGAGATACATCTATTTAATTTATAGTTAATTAATATTATATATAATTTTTAACTTGGATTTGAGAGGGTCAAGGATTATCCATGAGATTGAGAAGATATTTGAGATACATCTATTTAATTTATAGTTAATTAATATTATTTATAATTTTTAACTTGGATTTGAGAGGATCAAGGATTATCCATGAGATTGAGAAGATATTTGAGATACATCTATTTAATTTATAGTTAATTAATATTATTTATATTTTTAAACTTGGATTTGAGAGGGTCAAGGATTCTCCATGAGATTGAGAAGATATTTGAGATACATCTATTTAATTTATAGTTAATTAATATTATATATAATTTTTAACTTGGATTTGAGAGGGCCAAGTATTCTCCATGAGATTGAGAAGATATTTGAGATACATCTATTTAATTTATAGTTAATTAATATTATATATAATTTTTAACTTGGATTTGAGAGGGTCAAGGATTATCCATGAGATTGAGAAGATATTTGAGATACATCTATTTAATTTATAGTTAATTAATATTATTTATATTTTTTAACTTGGATTTGAGAGGGTCAAGGATTCTCCATGAGATTGAGAAGATATTTGAGATACATCTATTTAATTTATAGTTAATTAATATTATTTATATTTTTTAACTTGGATTTGAGAGGGTCAAGGATTCTCCATGAGATTGAGAAGATATTTGAGATACATCTATTTAATTTATAGTTAATTAATATTATATATAATTTTTAACTTGGATTTGAGAGGGCCAAGTATTCTCCATGAGATTGAGAAGATGTTTGATTACATCTATATGATTTTGAGTTTATTAGACACTTGTAAACCAATTCAAAGTAAAACTTAATTGTAATTATATATCATTATATTTTAGATGTTTCACCTTTATCATCAAACATTATCTTAGAACAACTGAGATCAAATTTTCAAGGTAAAAATATTTTATTACATAATTATAAAACAATAAACTCAAAATCATTTAGATGTATCTCAAATATCTTCTCAATCTCATGGAGAATCCTTGACCCTCTCAAATCCAAGTTAAAAATTATAAATCATATTAATTAACTATAAATTAAATAGATGTATCTCAAATATCTTCTCAATCTCATGGAGAATCCTTGACCCTCTCAAATCCAAGTTAAAAATTATAAATCTTAAATAAATATTATAATTTTAGGTACTATAACCATTATCTAAACACAAATTTTAAAATAGGTTATACTCAAAGTCATTCAGCTTACACATCCCCTCTTTGCTCATATATCTCCCCATATATTCCTGATTTTCAAAGTAACATTTTTATAACAAATCAATTTAATCTATAAAATATAGATGCTCCCAACATATCAAATGATTTCTATACATCTCCTCTTAATTCAGAAATAGAAAGTAATAATTCTTAATGAAAATATATATCACTATATATATAGGCAATTATTTTTTAGAAAATATGGATAATTATGGATTTGCAGAATCTCTAATAGATTTTAATGAAAATATACATATTTTTGGTAAATTTCTATATAAACATCTAAAAATTTTCTTATATTTTAGAGGAACCAACATTTATCGATAGCCAAAAGGGCAACTCATTGCTCTTTTTTTTAAATTTTCTTTACCGTTATAACGGTACATACAGGAATACAATTAACTACCGTTGTCTAAAAGCTGATTGTAAAGTGACGTGTATATATATTCAAGGATACACAATATCCAAAATGCATGAACATCAAAATCATGCTATACTTTTTCACAAATTAAAAACTTTGCAAACAGTAAAAGCAACGGTACAACAAAATCCTTTAGATACAAGGATGAATATCTATCTAAAGGCATTAAACCAACAATGCTCTGAAGATCCAGATATAATCAATTATCCAGGAGCCTTACCACCTTTTATTTCCGTTAAAAATGCGATTAACCGTATTTTAAAACAAACCAGGCCAAATATTCCCATTAGCAATGACACAATTGTATTGACCACTGAATTGATAACAACATTCAGTGGTGATAGCTTCTTAATAAAAAACAATAATAACAAACTTATTGTATTTGGGTCTGTCATGTTAGTCAGTTTATCTTCCTATACAAAATTCATTTATATGGATGGGACTTTTTACACATGTCCACGTTTTTTAGCCAATTATATACTATACATATCATGTATAATCAAACGATGATCCCTACCATATAAGCACTTCTTCCAGATAAAAGGAAGGAGTCATATATTGAGCTATTTCAAATAATCGTGGAATATGGGACATTGAATGGTATCCAGTTTTCACCAGACATGGCACAAACCGACTATGAAGCAGGAGCGATATCTGCTCTACAATTTGTATTTCCCAATATTTTAGTAAAGGGTAAAGTTTAAATTATATACAGTTGTATAATTTATTTTTAGGCTGCTTCTTCCACTTTACGCAGGCCATTTGGCGTAAAGTTCAGCATTTAGGTGTAGTCAAGCAGTATAAAGAAGAGACTGCTGTATACACTATTGTTCGAAGGATGAGTGTATTACCTTTATGCAAGAGAGAGGACATTCAAGTGGTCCGTGATTCTTGTGTAGATCTAGCAGCCAATGACCCGTTAATATTAAGTTTCTTAATATATATGGATACTACCTGGATAAATTCTGATGCAATCTTTCCTCATCAAATTTGGACCAGGTAATTATTTCATTTTTATTAATTCCTCACAATTCATATAAAAGTTTATAATATTTTTAACATTTAATACATTGTTTGGTGTTAGGTATAAGATTCAAGGTCCTCGCAATAATAATCATCTCGAAGGATATCACCATTCCCTCAAGCGAATGGCAAAAAATGCTCATCCGGACATATATTCATTAATTCGCGTTTTAAAAGATAACCAACGCCTGACAGAACTTAAAGTTATACAAATCAATAACGGGGAAATAGTTACGGAGAAAAATAAAAAATATATGATATTTAATAAAAAAATTGTAAACTTAACAGCATTATATGATATTACTTCTAATTTATTTTTTTTTATTGATAAAGTGTCTGATTTAATAAAATCATATTAAATATATATTATTAAATTTAAAATAGTTGTAGATATATTGTTAATAAAAAATTTAATATAAAATTGATAAAAAAGACCAATATACTTGGTGTTTCGATTGAAATGATACTTTATTTTACTTATTCATAACTTAGTAAATTTTTTGTTTATATGACAAGATTTTCACTGGATGTAGATATCTATCATAAATCTATATACAGCATCTACATGAGCGGGAGGGGTAGGAACAGTTTGCATCCTATTTTTTGAGGGGGTGGGTGGTAAGCTGCTTTAATGGGGGTAGGATAAAAAAATTTTGGGGTTATCTATTAAATCTTGAGATGAAATAAGACAAAATTTATTACTGTAAAAATTAATACTATTATTATGGAATTATTATAATACAATTCATCGACCAAATCTATATATTGCAAACAATCATACACATTGTTTTCCAAATAAACTATCCTTTTAAATGTAATTTAAGGTTTAGATATTTCAGCAAGCTCATAATGCCATAATAATTAATTCATTGTAAATAATGGGAGTTTTAATTGAATTTATTATCTAAAAAATAAATTCTTTATATTCACAAAATATTGATAGATGGTAGTAGAGATATATTAATTTAAGTTATCCTTTATAAATTCTTTGAAAAGAATATCAAGTATCAATAAATTAAATAGGTAAAAATAATAATAAAAAGACACCGCCGCCAGGCGGCGGTAATTTTTTAGAAGGTTAGGCAAAGGTTTTTGAAGGGGGTTTGCCTCCAATGAAAATCCTGACATGTAGACACTGTCTATATACCCCCTCCCCCTAAAAAAAATTCGCAAATAAAAGAATACTCCCTCTATAACTTCTCAACTATCATCTCGCTAAATATTATTAATATAAAAAAGTTACTTTTTAAAACATGAGGTAGATGTAATTCATCGCATATTATATGTTTAGGATCAAGTTATAATTTAAATTAAAATATAACTTGATCCTAAATATATATAATATGCGATGAATTACATCTACCTCACATAAAGGTATTGGTATTTTATATTTGGATTCTGGTCTGTATTTTTAGGAACTGCCTTAAGAATAATTATCCGAATATGATTGTTACCTCTCATGCCCTAGTGATAATTTTCTTTGCCATTATACCTATTTTAGTTGGGGGTTTTGGTAATTGATTAATTCCTTTAATACTTTCATCTCCTGATATATTTCATCATTAGGGTCCTAATAATATTATATATATATATTAAAATTTATTATAATATCCCCCTTAAAATATATATTTGTTATTAAGTATTGAATATAACTATTGATAAAATCTTTTATTGCCATTTAAAATATTTTTGTAAAACGCCTTGTTAATAATATAATATGTAATTATATACTAAAATTTATTATAATTTCTCCCTTATATATATTTGTATTAAGTATTTTAACTATTGATGAAATTTTTTAATGCTAAAATAATTAAAAATTTATAAAACGCATACTTAATAATATTATATATATATATTAAAATTTATTATAATATCCCCCTTAAAATATATATTTGTTATTAAGTATTGAATATAACTATTGATAAAATCTTTTATTGCCATTTAAAATATTTTTGTAAAACGCCTTGTTAATAATATAATTTGTAATTATATACTAAAATTTATTATAATTTCTCCCTTATATATATTTGTATTAAGTATTTTAACTATTGATGAAATTTTTTAATGCTAAAATAATTAAAAATTTATAAAACGCATACTTAATAATATTATATATATATATTAAAATTTATTATAATATCCCCCTTAAAATATATATTTGTTATTAAGTATTGAATATAACTATTGATAAAATCTTTTATTGCCATTTAAAATATTTTTGTAAAACGCCTTGTTAATAATATAATATGTAATTATATACTAAAATTTATTATAATTTCTCCCTTATATATATTTGTATTAAGTATTTTAACTATTGATGAAATTTTTTAATGCTAAAATAATTAAAAATTTATAAAACGCATACTTAATAATATTATATATATATATTAAAATTTATTATAATATCCCCCTTAAAATATATATTTGTTATTAAGTATTGAATATAACTATTGATAAAATCTTTTATTGCCATTTAAAATATTTTTGTAAAACGCCTTGTTAATAATATAATTTGTAATTATATACTAAAATTTATTATAATTTCTCCCTTATATATATTTGTATTAAGTATTTTAACTATTGATGAAATTTTTTAATGCTAAAATAATTAAAAATTTATAAAACGCATACTTAATAATATTATATATATATATTAAAATTTATTATAATATCCCCCTTAAAATATATATTTGTTATTAAGTATTGAATATAACTATTGATAAAATCTTTTATTGCCATTTAAAATATTTTTGTAAAACGCCTTGTTAATAATATAATTTGTAATTATATACTAAAATTTATTATAATTTCTCCCTTAAGATATATATTTGTATTAAGTATTTTAACTATTGATGAAATTTTTTAATGCTTTTTAAAATAATTAAAAATTTATAAAACGCATACTTAATAATATTATATATATATATTAAAATTTATTATAATATCCCCCTTAAAATATATATTTGTTATTAAGTATTGAATATAACTATTGATAAAATCTTTTATTGCCATTTAAAATATTTTTGTAAAACGCCTTGTTAATAATATAATTTGTAATTATATACTAAAATTTATTATAATTTCTCCCTTATATATATTTGTATTAAGTATTTTAACTATTGATGAAATTTTTTAATGCTAAAATAATTAAAAATTTATAAAACGCATACTTAATAATATTATATATATATATTAAAATTTATTATAATATCCCCCTTAAAATATATATTTGTTATTAAGTATTGAATATAACTATTGATAAAATCTTTTATTGCCATTTAAAATATTTTTGTAAAACGCCTTGTTAATAATATAATTTGTAATTATATACTAAAATTTATTATAATTTCTCCCTTAAGATATATATTTGTATTAAGTATTTTAACTATTGATGAAATTTTTTAATGCTTTTTAAAATAATTAAAAATTTATAAAACGCATACTTAATAATATTATATATATATATATTAAAATTTATTATAATATTCCCCTTAAAATTTATATTTGTTATTAAGTATTCAATATAACTATTGATAAAATCTTTTATTGCCATTTAAAATATTTTTGTAAAACGCCTTGTTAATAATATAATTTGTAATTATATACTAAAATTTATTATAATTTCTCCCTTAAGATATATATTTGTATTAAGTATTTTAACTATTGATAAAATTTTTTAATGCTTTTTAAAATAATTAAAAATTTATAAAACGCATACTTAATAATATTATATATATATATTAAAATTTATTATAATATCCCTCTTAAAATATATATTTGTTATTAAGTATTGAATATAACTATTGATAAAATCTTTTATTGCCATTTAAAATATTTTTGTAAAACGCCTTGTTAATAATATAATTTGTAATTATATACTAAAATTTATTATAATTTCTCGCTTAAGATATATATTTGTATTAAGTATTTTAACTATTGATGAAATTTTTTAATGCTTTTTAAAATAATTAAAAATTTATAAAACGCATACTTAATAATATTATATATATATATTAAAATTTATTATAATATCCCCCTTAAAATATATATTTGTTATTAAGTATTGAATATAACTATTGATAAAATCTTTTATTGCCATTTAAAATATTTTTGTAAAACGCCTTGTTAATAATATAATTTGTAATTATATACTAAAATTTATGTATAATTTCTCCCTTATATATATTTGTATTAAGTATTTTAACTATTGATAAAATTTTTTAATGCTAAAATAATTAAAAATTTATAAAACGCATACTTAATAATATTATATATATATATTAAAATTTATTATAATATTCCCCCTATAAATATATATTTGTTATTAAGTATTGAATATAACTATTGATAAAATCTTTTATTGCCATTTAAAATATTTTTGTAAAACGCCTTGTTAATAATATAATATGTAATTATATACTAAAATTTATTATAATTTCTCCCTTAAGATATATATTTGTATTAAGTATTTTAACTATTGATGAAATTTTTTAATGCTTTTTAAAATAATATAAAAATTTATAAAACGCATACTTAATAATATTATATATATATATTAAAATTTATTATAATATCCCCCTATAAAATATATATTTGTTATTAAGTATTGAATATAACTATTGATAAAATCTTTTATTGCCATTTAAAATATTTTTGTAAAACGCCTTGTTAATAATATAATTTGTAATTATATACTAAAATTTATTATAATTTCTCCCTTAAGATATATATTTGTATTAAGTATTTTAACTATTGATGAAATTTTTTAATGCTTTTTAAAATAATTAAAAATTTATAAAACGCATACTTAATAATATTATATATATATATTAAAATTTATTATAATATCCCCCTTAAAATATATATTTGTTATTAAGTATTGAATATAACTATTGATAAAATCTTTTATTGCCATTTAAAATATTTTTGTAAAACGCCTTGTTAATAATATAATTTGTAATTATATACTAAAATTTATTATAATTTCTCCCTTATATATATTTGTATTAAGTATTTTAACTATTGATGAAATTTTTTAATGCTAAAATAATTAAAAATTTATAAAACGCATACTTAATAATATTATATATATATATTAAAATTTATTATAATATCCCCCTTAAAATATATATTTGTTATTAAGTATTGAATATAACTATTGATAAAATCTTTTATTGCCATTTAAAATATTTTTGTAAAACGCCTTGTTAATAATATAATTTGTAATTATATACTAAAATTTATTATAATTTCTCCCTTAAGATATATATTTGTATTAAGTATTTTAACTATTGATGAAATTTTTTAATGCTTTTAAAATAATTAAAAATTTATAAAACGCATACTTAATAATATTATATATATATATTAAAATTTATTATAATATT